GGATGGATGGATGGATGGATAGATGGATGGATGGATGGATGGATGGATGTATGGATACATATGTGTATATGTGCATATATGTATACATGTAGATGTGTATCTATACATTGCGGTGTGTGTATGTGTTTGTGTGCGTGTGTGTGTTGGTGCTTGTTTTTGTGTGTGTGTGAGAGGCATCGTGAAGGGATCCCGAGGCATCATGAAGGATCCAAGGGTTCCTGAGGAAACCCGAGAGTTCCCAAAGGTTTCGTAGGGCCCTGACGAGGTCCTCACAGTTCCAGAAGATTCCACGGATCCCGTGTGAAAAACCTGAGGGACCTCAAGGGATCCATAGGGATCCTGAGGGGTACCGAGGACCTGGGGAAGCCTGGGAGGCCCTGCGGGCTGGCCACGAGGAATCCTGAGGCATCCTGCGTGGATCATGAGGCGTGCTGAGGGATCCCGAGGGTCCCTGAGGAAACCCGAAGTTCCCCGAAGGTTTTGTGGGGATCTTTGTGAACAGCATCCAAACAAGAAGGTGGCCTCACCCTCGTCCTCACCAAGATCACTCCATTATCGTCATCACCAGCACCACCTCGTCATCACCATCACCAGGATAACCATCATCGCCGTCATCACAAACAGCTTCCTCATCGTCATCGTTACCAACATCACCGTCAGCATCGCCATCACCAACATCACCCCAACATCACCGTGATCATCGTCCTCACCAACATCCCTCATCATCGCCACCACCAACATCACCGTCATCGTCGCCCTCACGGACGTCACCATGATCATAGTCACCACCAACGACGTCGACATCAGCGACATCACCCTCATTACCCTCATCACCAGCATCACCCTCGTCACCGTCATCACCAACGTCGCCCGCATCATCGCCATGGCCTACACCACCCTCAGCATGGCCACGACAAACAATGACCCCCCTCATCTTCATGTCCACCATGAACCAGACCATTGTCATAACCAGCCTCACCCCCATCATCGTCAGGACTCACATCACCGTCACAATCGTCTTGATCAGCCTCACCACACTCATCATCGTCATGGCCGACATCACCCACATCGCTACGATGACCAGCATCACCCTCGTCGTCGTCATGACCAACATCACCCGCACCGTCGCCACGAGGAGGAGGAGGAGGAGGAGTAGGAGGAGGAGGAGGAGGAAGAGGAGGAGGAGGAGGTGGAGGAGGAGAAGGAGTCGCAGTAGTAGTCGTCGTAGCAGCAGTAGTCGTAGCATTAGAAAGAGAGAGAGAGAGAGAGAGAGAGAGAGAAAGAGAGCGAGAGAAAGTGTGAGAGAGAGGAGAAACGCTGAAACTTTCTGAAATCCTCTGAAGCTTTCTGACGCTCTCTGAAGCTCGCTGCAACTCCTCTGAAACGCTCTGAAACTCTTTGGAACTTTCTGAAGCTCGCTGAAACTCCGAAACCTTCTGGAACTCGATGAAAGTCTTGTAGCTGTGAAAGAAGCTCCAGAAGCTGCAGCTCTACGCAAGCTCCAAGACGTCGGGGAACCAGGAAAGAACCCAGTCTACCGGGAAAGAACCCAGTTCACCAGGAAAAAGAACCATTCCGCCCCCCCAGGACACCCCTGGGCCCCACCCCCGGGACCAGACCTGGGACACCCCCCCTCCCGGCGGGGGAGGGATCAAAGGGAAGGGGCATCTTTTCGAGTCTATGACGATGTTGCTCAATTTCGATTTGGCTGGCGTGCTTGAGGAGGAGGGCACAGGGAAGGAGGGGGGAGCGGCGACGGGCACAGGAAAAGGAGAGCGCAGGGAAAGCGGACGACAGAGACGACGATGAACGAATGACGGCGACGACGACTCGAACGGCGAAGCCCCTCACACACGCCGACAGGGTCGGCGGACTTGCGTGTTGCTGAAGGTGTCCCTGGCCCAAGGTGTCTCCAGCATTCCCAGCGAGGCCCAGATTGCTTCCGCAGCACCCCTCACGGGGCCTAGAGGACTGGCGGGGGGGCTCAAACATGGCGCGAAAATCTGGGGACGCCTTGGGTCAGGACCACCTCTAGCAACACCCGATGCGTGCCTGCCTTGAGAAAGTCCAGGTGGACGATGGAAGAGAACGCGGTCGACTGCGAAGACATTCGCGCGCAAGCTGCCCACACGGAAGGTCGCGCGTGAGCGCCGTCGCTCCAAAGGTGGCGTGCCGCGGTAGCGGCCCGCGTCAGCCACTGCTTAAGTTCGCTGTATATATATCTATATTTTCTTGCGTAGGACACGTTTTTTGTCGTCGCCCAGGTGAGCCACGTGGTGCAGCTGGCCATCTCCCAGAAGAAGCTGCTGGGCTACCTCAACGGCGCCGTGGTACCCTACGGGCGGTCGGGCTCCAAGGCTCCAGGAGGGAACAAAAAACACACAGACACAATTAGAATCGTCGGTCCCCCAGAAAATATGGGAAATTATGGGAAGTGGGGGGGGAAGATAAACACCCAGAAAAGATGGGAAAATATGGGGAACATTTTTATGTGTGTGTATCTATGTGTGTGTCCTGGGGCCCCTTCAAAGGCGAAGGACGAGTGCGCCGTGCGCCAGCAGCCCTTCGCTGGAGCCCCGCACGCGCCCAGCGAGCAGCCGCTGCTGGCGGAGTGGGAGCAGCTGCGCGAGTGCATGAGGAGCCCGTCGCCTCCAGGAGGAGGGGGGAGGATAATGGAGGATGACGATTAATAAATGACCGGGGGTCGTGTTCACGCGGCGGCGCCCCGGATGACGATTAGAAAAAACGGGCCGCGGGCTGGAACAACTTATGTTTTAAACCGTCCTCTTCCAGTCAGAGACTTGTGCAGAAATAGCAGGAAACTATTTTTTATCGTTCTCTCCCATTTTTAGTAATCGTCATCCCGTATTAGGGTGAGGACAGAAGAACTGACATCGGCATACACCTAGGTTGTTCGAGCCAGGGCTGGAACTGAACGCTGTGTTGCTGGACTTCGGCGGCGTTTTGTTTATCGCTGTTGGCAGGGAGGTGCAGGAAAACAGGTAGGGCAAAGTGGAAAGATAACACAGACAAAACGAACAACGTTTAGGTCCAGCCCTGGTTTGAGCTCCACGCGGACCTCCCAAAGCTGATGTTCATGCTTATGCACTTGTGTTTCTCGAGGGAGAGAGGAGGCAGGCGGGAGGAGGAGGAAGATACGAAGATACGTACGGGGGAGGGTCAGAGGAGGGCGAGCTGAGTCAGGGATAGTTTTAAGTCGGGGGCGGGCAGAACCCACACCCTGACACGTCGATTGGTGAATTGCCCGTTGTCGGCTCTCGAGAGGGCGCCGCGGCCGTCATGTTCCAGGCTTGCGCCCGCCAGGTTTGGGCCCGAGGTCGTTTTCACTAAACCACGTTTTACTACAGAGGGTCCTCTCCATCCCCGATTTATGTCGGGCGTGTCCCTCTACAGGAGTAATATTCAACAATGATCCAAAAATAGTCTGGGAACGATTGTTCGATTATTTGTTGACTATGTTTGAGCATGTTCTGACTATGTGTGATTCTTCCTCCAAAACCCGCCTGTAGGGGGACATGCCAGACCTATGGATAGTTGGCCTTCGGGGAGAGCCCTCGTCGCCACAGCTGGACGCATCTCGGAAAACTGGTCCTGGTGCGTTGGAGCCCGGGTGGGTCCAGGCACCGATGTCAAGCTGCCGCTGTCTCAAATCACCCTGCCCCGAGACGGAGAAGGGGGAGAGGGAGGTTGGAGAGGAAGGGCAGGGGGGCCCGGGGAAGGGGAGGAAGGAAGGGGAGGAGGACGTGGAGGAGGAGGAGGAGGAGGAGGAGGAGCAGCAGGAGGAGGAGGAGGAGGAGGAGGGGTAGGCAAGAGCAGGAGGAGGAGTAGGAGGGGGAGGAGGAGGAGGAGGGGGCGGTGTGGGGAGGCACCAATGCGAGCGGAACACCGACTCGCGTGAGCTGGCCCGAAGGCGTTTCGCAGCGCTCGGTTGTGGAGAAGAAGAAGAAGAAGCAGGAGGACGTGGAGGAGGAGGGGATGCTCCTACCTCTACTCCTGCAGGTCCTCATCACCATCATCATCATCAGCAGCAGCATCAGCAGCAGCATCAGCATCATCAGCAGCAGCGGCAGTAGCCGCCGCGTCATCAACATCATCATCATCCTTATCACCAGTATCAGCATCATCAGCAGCATCAGTATCATCATCATATGCATCATCAGAATCATCAGCCTTATCAGTATCATTGTCATCATCAACATCAGCATCATCCTCATTGTTATAAGCATCGTCATAGTCATAATCACCACCATCACCGTCATCATCCTCAGTATCATTATCATAATAATAAGCATCACCATCATCATCATCACCACCATCATCATCATCATCATCATCGTCATCATAATCATCATCATCATCATCATCATCATCATCATCATCATCATCATCATCATCATCATCATCATCATCGTCATCATCATCATCTCCATCATCATCATGATCAGCATCGCCGTCATCGTGATCGTTATCGGTATCGTCATCGTCGTCGTCAGCAGCAGCATCCCCTCTCCTCCTCCTCCTCCTCCTCCTCCTCCTCCTTCTCCTGCCTTTCATTTTCCAGTTCTTCCTCTTCGTTATCATTGACGTGATCCTCCTAGTCTCGTCCATGTTCCAATTACTTCTCCTCCAATCACCTCCCCCTCACACTGCTCCCAAATTTCTTCTCTGAGATGCTGCACCCCACGTGACATTCTGGCCTTTCCGGACCTCTATCCCGCGGGCCGATCTACCTCCTCCTCCTCTTCCTCCTCCTCCTCCTCCTCCTCCTCCTCCTCCTTCTGGTCCTCCTCACCCGCCTTGCTTCCTTTTCCTTGCCTCCCCCATCCACTTCCTAATCGCTCTCCGTCCTCCTCGTTTTCATCGTTCCGCCGTATCTGTCCCCTCCTCTTCGCTATTGCCTCCTCCTCCTCCTCCTCCTCCTCCTCCTCCTCCTCCCTCCTGTCTTGCGCCCCTTTCTCCCTCCCACCCCGCTCGCCGCCGGAGGAGCCTGATGCTCCACGTGCCCGTCGACGGCTCGATGCCGCTCTCCAACGCCTGGCCCCCAGAACCGGAATGGCCCGCGGTCCTCTCCCGGCGCCGTGGCGCGCTTCGGCCTGCTCCGAGGAGGAGGAGGGTTGGCAGCCCTCGCGAAGGCGGAGGAGGAGGAAAGGAGAGACCAGGGGGTGAAGGAGGAGGGGGAGGAGGAGGAGGAGGAGGAGAAGGAGGAGGAGGAGGGGGAGGAGGAGGAGGAGGAGGAGGAGGAGGAGGAGGAGGAGGAGGAGGAGCGTAGGAGGAGGAGGGTAGGAGGCGAGCCGCGTGCGCCCGAGAGCGTTCACGCGAGGGAGTATATGCCTCGTTTAGCGGCAGCGGCCAGCGTGGCGCCCGCCCCCCCCCCCCCCCCCGCAGCAGCCGAGCGCCCCCGCGGTAGCCACCAGCCTCACGGCTGCATTCGTTGTTCTCTCGTGCCCCGCTGGGGCCGCCCGCGACTCCATCCACGGATACCCAGCCACGCGTCGAAGGGGGGTGGGGGGAGGGGGGAGCGCTTCTTAGCAGCACCCCTGCTTCTTGGAAGGCGCGGGCCTGATCTACAATTAGATGTAAGGCCGGCGCCTTCTGAGATGCAGCCTCCTTCTAAGAAGCCGCCCTCCCTCCACCCCCCTGTGCGCCCCCCCCAGAATATAATGTCGAGGAGCCCTGCTCAGCATAGGCGGCTCCGGCGCGAGAGGGCCAACTCTCTCGCACACGACGTCGGGAACTACAAGCTCAGCGGCGACTGGCGCGTCATCACGGCGCAAAGCAATCACCGCGACACCCACCGCAAGATCCCGCAATCGCGGCGCCATGGAGTTCAGCGACGAGCCGTATTCCGAGCAGGGACACCCCCCTACGCGACCCACTGTAACTGCGGTCGGCGCAGGATCGGATAGGTGGGGGAACGACCAGTGGACGGCACAACGGGCAGCCCAGCAGCCCGACACCTACTGGAGCAAGGGCACCACGACAAGGGCAAGAGCAGGAACGGCAAGGGCACGGGCAGCTTTCCCAAGCCGTGCGACGACCACGCCGAGGACAACGACACCCCGCAGAAGTACAAGCAGAACGACGAGAAGGGAAATGGGAAGCAATTGGCCCAACAGGAGGGGATTCCCCTGCCAAGAGGCAGCCGCGCGAGGCAACCCAGGACTACAGCGACCACTTCGACGGGACCGTCAACAACGTCATGCCCACTTGCAAGGTCTACGTTGCCAGAATGCCCGATTGGGAGGCACCACCAAGCGACCCCAAGTTCAGAGAAGGGTGAAAGAATATCAAGGTCACAGAACAACAGAAAGCAGCCGCGGCGATCATCAAGAACAGCGCCGCCGCGTTTCAAACGACTGACGCAGATGCCCACGCCGCCGTCGCCAAAGCCATGGCCGTCAGCAGCATGCCGCTCGCCCAAAGAAGCCCGGGGAGTTTTCGTGCACCGAGGATGTCATGGAACATCGTCTCGGATCCACCACGGCACGCTGCACGGAGGCGGAGGTCTACCTGGCAACCTGGGAGGGCAAAGTCTCCGAGCCCCGCCTTCCCGGGAGGGGCGTCAGCTGCGCCAGGGCGGCTGGCGCCTGCAGCGATGCAGGGGCCGCCGGCATCGTGGCGGAAAACCACCCTGCAGGGACGGTCCAGCGAGGAGGGCCGCCACGTCCACTCCCAGGAGAGGGACGAGGGCCGGTGAGTCAATAGAGGGTCAAGACATTCTCGACTCGACTAGGTGGAGGAGAAGCGGAGGAGGAGCAGAGAGGAGGAGGAGGAGGAGGAGGAGGAGGAGGAGGAGGAGCACAGAGGAGGTGGAGGAGGAGGAGGACGCGGAGGATGAAGAGGAGGATGAGGAGGAGAATGAGCAGAGAGGAGGAGGAGCAGAGAGGAGGAGGAGCAGAAAGGAGGAGGAGGAGGAGGAGGAGAATGAGCAGAGAGGAGGAGCAGGGTCGGTGAGTCAATAGAGGGTCAAGACATTCTCGACTAGACGTAAGGTTGGCCTTTCGCCGGAGTGACCTCTGGTGCGGGCCCACGGGGGTCCCCCCATCGCCGAGCGCGGTGCGACGGTAGCGTCTTGCGCACTCGTGTTTGGTCCCCCCGCGGCCCCCACAAAGCCGCGCACCAAAGGTCACTCTGACACAGGGTCACTCCTGCGTGTAGCCGACATTGGCGCACTCCTGACAGCATTGAAGGAGGAGAATGACGCCTAGTCCGAGACGCCAGGAACAACATGAAGGAGGCCAAGCAAGAGGTCGACAGCCTCAACAGGACCGGCAACGAGCTGATAGCTGCAAGGGAATAAGTTGCAGCCGAATTACACGAAGTGCGACAACACCTAATTAGGAGGTGTCGAGGCCAACGTCGAGAGCGAGCGGAAAAGCAAGCGCAACTCCAACGATGCCGACCGATGCCAAAGAAGCAAAAGCGCACCGCCAACGAGCAGAGAGCGGGAGGAAGAGGAGGAGGAGGAGGAGGAGGAGGAAGAGCAGAGGAGAAGCAGCGAGGAGGAGGAGCACAGAGGAGGCTGAGGAGGAGGAGGAGGACGCGGCGGAGGAGGGGAGGAGGAGGAGGAGAATGAGCAGAGAGGAGGAGAAGCAGAGATGAGGAGGAGGAGGAGCAGAGATGAGGAGGAGGAGGAGGAGGAGGAGGAGGAGGACGACGACGACGACGACGAGGACGACGAGGAAGAAGAGGACGAGGACGAGGACGAGTAGGACGAGGAGGAGGAGGAGGAGGAGGAGCAGAGTTGAGGAGGAGGAGGAGGAGGAGGAGGAGGAAAAGCAGGAGAAGCAGGAGGAGGGAGGAGCAGGAGGACGAGAAGGAGGAGAGAGTAGGGGAGGAGGAGGAGGAGGAGGAGGAGGAGGGACGAGGACGAAGACGAGGAGGAGGAGGAGGAGGAGGAGGAGGAGGAGGAGGACGAGGACGAGGAGGACGAGGAGGAGGAGCAGCAGGAGGAGGAGGAGGGAGGCCCTGGCCAAGGCGCCGACTCGGTGCGCGCGGAGCGCTCCCGGAAGGGGGCCTGGCCTTCGGCCTCGGCCTCGGCCTCGGCCCGTCGCCCTCGGCAGACGCCGGCGGGAGGCCTCGGCAGCGGTCCGGCGTGGCGGCAGCGGGGCCCGCCGGCGACGGCTCGGCGGCGAGGCGGCGGCAGCTCAGCCCACGCATCGAACTAGGAATCTCATCCTCCCTCCTCCCTCCTCCTCCCTTCTCCTCCCTCCCTCATCCCTCCCCTCTCCTCCATCCTCCCTTCTCCTCCCTCCTCCCTCCTCCTCCCTCCTCCTTCCTCCTCCTCCCTCCTCCCTTCTCCTCCCTCCTCCCGCCTCCTCCCTCCTCCGAGTTTCTGAATAAGCGTCGGGGGCGGGGGCGCCACCCCCGCCGACAGCCCCACATCGACCCCCGTCGCGGGCAGCCACCGCGCGCCAAAGGCGCTCGGACCCCCGTCGCGGCGCGACGACGAGGCGAGGTTAACCCCTGTCGGGGGGGTACCCCCCCACGCTTATTGAGAAACCCAGAGTACCCACATCCCTACCCTTCCCTCGTTGTCGCCTCTTTTGGGCCTCCTCGGATGCTCTCGTCGCCACCGCTGGCTTCACCTCGAAGTTCTGGTCAGAACGCACCCCCGGAAATGTCCAGGGAGTATAGCGGTATCGGTGCCTTTCGGCTTCCCCAGAATCGGCTTGCTGGCAGGTGCCCCACGTAAGTGGTTGATCACGGTGGCCCCGTGGTCCCACGGAAGCTCTGGGGCGGGAGGAGGGTAAATGTTGTTTTTGCAGGGTCCATTTTCCAGAGTTCAGGGTCAAGAAGTGTTTCCCCAACGGATGCTTTCCGGGGCCCGCCGTGTGGGACATCCTCAAAAAATACCATTGAAGGATTGGTTGATTGGTTGGCGTGTTGGTTGGCTGATTGGCTCGCCGATTGCCTGGTCCAAAGTTTGTTTCTTCAAAGATTTGTGTCAGGGACCCGCCGTGTGGAACGTCCAAAGTTGTTTGGGAAGGACTGGTCGGTTCGTGGGTTGGTTGGCTGGTTGGCTCGCCGGATCCCGGGCCAGGACAATTTCTTCCCGCGGTGGTTGGTTGGTTGGGCGGCGGTCGGTCGGTTGGTTGGTTGGTGGATTGGTTGTTGATTGTTTAGGCGGTTGGTCGGTTGGTTGGTTGGTTGGCTGGTTATCTGCTTGGCCGGTTGGCTGGCAGGTTGGCTCACCGGTTTCCGGGTCAGCGATGGGCTAGCTGGCTGGCTGGCTGGTTGGCTGGTTGGTTGGTTGGCGGTTGAGTCGTGGGTTGGCCGGTTGGTTGGCTGGTGGTTGGTCAGTGGGTCAGTTGGCTGGTTGGTTGGCGGTTGATTCGTCGGTTGGCCGGTTGGTTGGTTGGTGGTTGGTCAGTTGGTCAGTTGGCTGGTTGGCTGGTTGGTTGGCGGTTGATTCGTCGGTTGGCCGGTTGGTTGATTAATGGTTGGTCAGTTAGTTGGTTGGTTGGTTGGGTGGTTGGGTGGCCGGCTGCCCGCTTGCCCGAGTTGTTAACCAGTTCTCCCCTCCACTCCCCCTGCCTTCCACGCCCTTCCTCCCTCCTCATTCATCCTCCTTCCCCCCCTCTTCTTTGTACCTTCCTCCCTTCTGCTCCCTTCCTGTCCTCCTCCTCCCCCTCGCCCGCAATTCACTTCAATGCAAATGCAACGCAGTGCAGCACAATGCAACGCAGCAGGATCCAATGCAACGCAATGCACTGCAATGCAAATGCGGCGCAATAATGCAACAAGTGCAATGCAAGGCAGCGCAACACAATGCAATGCAATGATATTCAATGCAACGCAACGCAATGCAATGCTATGCAATGCAATGCACTGTCACGCAATGTGCGCATCGTCGCGTGGCAGCGCCACGGGGCCGAACAAAAGTATGTTTCACTCCACTCGCCGCGTGGCAACGTCTTGGCGGGCGACAGAATACTATTCCACCACTCGTCTTAAGTCGGGCCTGTTCCTCTACAGGAGGAATATTCAAAAATAGTTTTCTACTATCTTTGGAAATTTTGGAGCATGTTTGGGGTATTCTTTATTTTTCGTCCAAAATCCGCCTGTAGGAGGACACGCCCGACCTAGTACTCGTCACGTGGCAGCGCCGCGGGGGCTGAGAAAAATACTACTTTCCACTGTGCTCGCCACGCGGCACCGCCTGGGGGAGGGGGGCGAAACAAGTACTATTCCTTGAACTTCGTCGCGTGGCAACGCCGGGGGGGGGGGGCAAACAAAAATATTCGCCCGCTCCACGTGCCACGTTGCGGCGCCTGGAGACGCGAATAAGCAGCATTCCGCCCACTCCATTTGTCACGCGGCAGCGCCGCGGGGGCCGAACAAAAAACTATGACACTCCACTCTTCGCGCGGCAACGCCGCCGCGGGGGCCGAAAATGATGCTATGCCACTCCACTCGCCACGTGGCAACGCCTGCATGTGCAAAGAAATCACATTTCATCCTAGTCGTCATGTGGCAGCGCTGCGGGGGGGCAGAAAAAACATTCTGCCACGAGGGCCGCGATGAGGACGACGACGAACACGACGACGACGACGACGACGACGACGACGCTGACGACGATGATGACGACGACGATGACGAGGGCCAGGGAGGCGAACAACCATTCTATCATATCCTCCTCGCCCTTCTCCCTCCCCCTTTCCTCCCTCCCCCTATCCTCCCTCCTCCCCCTTCCTTTCGTCCCCTTCCTCCTTCCTCCCCCTCCCCTCCTCCTCCCCTCATCCCTCCTCACTTCTCTTCCTTCCCCTCCTCTCTACCTTCCTCCCTTCTCCTCCCTCCAACGCGATGCAAATGCAACGCAGTACAATGCAACGCAGCGCAACATAATGCAACGCAATGCAACGCAACGCAACAGGATGCAATACAATGCAATGCAATGCAGCGCAATGCAACGCAAGGCAGCGCAATGCAACGCAATGCAATGCAATGCAATGCAAGGCGTCACGTGGCAGCGCCGTCGGGGCCGAACAAAGCCACGACGACGACAATGACGAGGGCCAGGCAGGGGAACAAAAATACCAGCCTATCCTCCTCCACGTCATTCTCCCTCCCTCCTCCCTCCTCCCTCCTCTCTCCCCTGCCTTCTTTCTACCCCTCCCCATCCTCCCCCCGACCCCCCTCCTCACTGCAATGCAATGTACTACTCCGCAACTCCCTCCTCCCCCGCCCCTCCCCTCCCCTCCTCCCTCCCTCTCCCTCCCCTCCTCTCCCCTTCGCAAGTCACTACAATGCAATGTGATGTGATGCAAGCGCCATGCAGATGCAACGCCTCGCAACGTCATGCAACGAGACGGGATGCGATGCAGTGCAGCGCGGCGCAGCGCAGCGCAACGCCATGCACTGCCGCGCCGCGCCGCGCAGCGCAGTGCAGCGCAGTACGGTGCGCCCGCGGGCACGATTGCACGCCCCGCACGGTCTGCACGCCCGCCGCCCGCTCGCCCCTCCGCGCGCGCCTCCCGTCCGTGCCATGCCACGCCGTGCTACCGTCGGCCCATCCTCCTCCTCCTCCTCCTCCTCCTCCTCCTCCTCCTCCTCCTCCTCCTCCTCCTCCTCCCTCCTCCTCCTCTCCCTCCTCCCTCCTCCTCCTCCTCCTCCTCCTCCTCCTCCTCCTCCTCCTCCTCCTCCCCCTCCTCCTCGAGTACAGTCGGGGCGCTGAAGAAGGAACCCTTTTCGTTGGGGAGGAGCTCGGTGTTCCTTAATTGTTCCACACCCTGCCCAGGGTTTTCCTGAAGCTTTCGATGGGAAGTCCAAGGTTCACTTATGAAAAAAGGGGCCTCGTTCCTTATTTAGGGTTCCTTCGGTCAACGCCCCGACTGTAGTGGGTCGGCCCTGCCAAATCAAGGGCACCCTTGCGTCCTGTGTCTCGCGGCCCATGCTTCCTACCTTCCTGAGCCAGTGTGGCCCTCGGAAGGGTCCTGTGTCCTCTGGCGTGTCCCGTCCAGTCGAGTCCGACTGTACTCCATCCAGCCCTCCCTGCCATCCCATCCCGTCCACTCCGTTCCATGCCATTCCGTCACACTCCTACCTTCCCCCGCCCCGCGGTCATTCCAGGTCCCCCAAAAAATTAATAATATGGCCCTCCGGCGGTGTGGGACATCCTCCCAAGCAATGGCACCCGGGAAGGGCTGGCTCGCTGGCTGGGCTGGTTGGCTGGCTGGCTCTCCCCAGCTGCGGGCTGATGAGCGGGCGTCCGGAGACCCAGGTTGGCACCCAACACACACACACACAGAGAGAGAGAGACACACACTTTTTTGCGTCTGCGGCTGGGCAGAGGGCGACTGCTCTGGCGGAATGGCAGCAGGGGACACGGTGTAGGCAAGTTGGGGCCGCAGTGCACGGAAGGAGGAGGAGGAGGAGGAGGAGGAGGAGGAGGAGGAGGAGGAGTAACGGCGCGACGGGAAGAGAGGAAGCCGGGCCATTACATGCACACACACACACACACACCTCACGGGTCGCGCCAAGGGAGCCGGAGATGATGTTTGTGGACCGGGGATACATGGGGCGTTCCAGAAACGGCCTTGCCTTCGAGGATCGAAGGGGGTGGCATCTCTTCCGCGGCGGGAGGCGGCCGAAGGGCGGCGGAAGGTCGGCGGAAGGCGGCGGAGGTAAAAAATGCGCCCCAAAGAGATGAAAACGTTTTTGGGTTCAGGGTTTCCGAAACCGCCCAAATGTTTGGACCCGCATTGAGAAATGTTTGGACTTGGGGTCGCGTTTTTGTTCCACCCGCGACCTCTCTGGGGCACCACTGGACACCCTCGGGGATCGACGAAGAGTATACCCCAACACTTCCTGTAGCAAGATTCTTCACTGTACGTGTCTGTACCCAGACCCCCGACGTCATGATTTGTTCATTACGTCGACCCCTGGAGGTCTCGACCCATTCCCCTGGACCGGTTTTTCGTCCTGAGTCGTTTTTTGACGGTCCCGAGGCCCGGCGAGGGCCCCCCGAGGCCGAAAATAGCGAAAAACCTCCCGTCATGATTTTGTTCATTGCTCGATGGGGGTCTGGGTATGTGTCCACTCTACGTGCCCACCCCAGCTCCCTCATCCAATTCGGCCAGAGGCGCCGCGCTTCGCACGGGTCGAGGCCCGCCAGATCGGGATCGGGGCCAGGCTGCGGAGCGGCTTGGCTCTGCCAGCTGCGCGTGCAGTGGGGGCCCATGCCAAGAAACACCTCCTTCTCCTCCTCCTCCTCCTCCTCCTCCTCCTCATCCTCCTCCTTTTCCTCCTCCTACTCCTCCTCCTCCTCCTCCTCCTCTCAAGCCATCTGGGCCCGAGACCCCATTTTGGAGGTCCCAGAGGACCCAGACCTCGGTGCTTCCACGGAGCGCTTGGGGGGCGCCGCAGCGACAACAGTCCTTCTAGAGTTGTTCTTTGCGGCGGCGAAAGCCGAGGATGTCACGTTTATTCTCGAAATGCGGAGGATGCGGCACGTTCGAGTACAATGATATATTATCTCGAGCTGATCGCAAATGCAGAGTACGTTGCAGACAAGTCCGCCTCTTTGTACCCAGGAGAGCACGTTCCAGATCGGCATCTCCAGGGGGCTCGCCATGGCGAGTACGTTTCGATAGCAACGCTGAGAATGATCTAGCCAAGAGAGCCACCAGCCCGAAGCCGATCCTGAAGGGCTCCCAGACCACCCAGCCCACCACTGAGGGCCAGGATCTAGTGGCTACGTTGAAGGCCGCCATTGCGCAGACGTCCGATATTCAGATGACGACGGTCTTGACGGCGGGGCTGGCCAAGGTTGAGGTGGTGCAGCCCCCACAGCAGGTCGCGTCGCCAGCTGACGAGGCTCGGCGAACGGACGCTGCATGGAGGGATGCGGAGGTGAAGCATGATCAGGCGGCCAAGGAAGTCCAGCGATTGCGTGATCAACTAGTGCAGGCGGAGGCCAAGGAGCAGCTAGCGGCCAGGACGCTGGCGCAGGCCACCATCGCCAAGTCACAGGCCGCGCAAGCTCTCGCCAAGGCGGAGGGCGTGTTCATCGATCCCGACAACGCTGACGGTGACGGCAAGGGTCCCAAGCCCTTGTTCCACCTGTCCTGGGACCAGGAGCTTTTCACCAACATTGACCAGCTCGAGTGCGAGCAGAGCGAGAAGGAAGCCTTGGCGCAACTAGAGAAGGACCTAGTCAGCACCAATGACACTTTGAAGCCCAAGGAGGAGGATGTGCAAGCCTGGCTTAGGCGAGCAGCAGAGCTCAAGGCGTCCATCAAGGAGCGGCTCGCCAAGAAGAGGAGGAACAATGATGATCAAGCTGTCCCAGGTGGAGGTGGTCATGCCCCAGCTGCTGCAGGTCAGGCTGCGGCGCCGACGGCCGCCGCCGCTACGGCGGGCGAGGAGCCATCGGCGGAGCAGAAGGCATCACAGGCAGCAGCCGACGAGCAGCGGGTGAGCAAGGTGCAGGCCGAGGCTGAGCGCCTGTCCCGTGCCAAGTTCGCGGCGCTGAACGCCAACCAGCAGACGCGTGAGGGCAAGGGCAAGAACGGGTCCACCGCGGGGGCGACGATCGGCAACGGCGTGGACAATCAGCCCCAGCCTCAGGTGTGACCAACACGCAAGCCCCGCTCGTCGTCCATTACTTCGGCCAGCACGACGACGGACACAGCGGCTACTTCTAGCAGGCCTTCCCCCCCTCACCATCTACGGGCTCGAGTTCGAGCCAGGCTCCTCGGGATGTTACCGATGAGTCATCATTTGATCAGGCAGGCACGAGCGATCACATCGCTCCCAGTTTCACCGACCTCGTCTTCGAAAATATCACGTGCATGGGCACCAAGGCCTAGCAGTACGTCGCCGAGCAGAGGCAGTCCACTCAGCACTTTGCTCTCGTCGAGACCCATGTTGGCAGGGGCGCAGTTCGACAGCGAGATGACAAAGCGAGGAAAATTGGGGTGAAGCTATTCTGCAACCCAGCCAGGCCGAAGGACAAACATTTTAGAGAGCTGTCTATGGGGCATGGCAACGAAGGGGGCGAGTGGATCCTCACTCACGGGCATCTCCGAGCTCATTCCCTTGCGGCAGCCTCTACTCCAATGCTGCAGCATGAGTCAACCAGGTCCAACGACGGTTTCTGTGCGATTACCAGTCACATGAAACGGTACTCGTTTATCCTTACCACTTCCTACGGGTATTCAGGCATTGGATTTACGGGGCCCAAAGGCATTCGCTATCGCCGCTTGGGGGCACTTCTCCGAGCGCTTCAACTCCCGTGGATTGGGGTGTCCGGTTTCAACATCAGCGCGGCGGCGGTCAGCATGGCGGGTTTTGCCGAACGGGCCGGAGGGCGCGCTCTCACGGCCAACGTGGACGACACGTGCAATGCAGGGAAGGGTATCACATCGATTTCGGGATGTGCAGTACTTCCGCATTGAGCTACGTGGTGTCTGCGGAGCCAGAGATGGCAGTGCCTTGGAAGACCCGCATCGGTTCGCGCGTGCGACTTCGTGACCAGGGGCGGCAGCTGCTCACGCGGTCACTCCCCCTAGCGGCACGCCTACCTCAGGCGCCACGACCAGGGGGGGAGCCGACCCCAGAACCCAAGTCCAGTCGAGCCCGCGCCACTCGGCTGCTGGCTGCCCAGGACATCGCGGTCGAACGGGACGAGGTGCACACGAGGCTTTATGGGGATGTCTTGGAGGCCATCGACCCTCAGAAGACCAGGGGGGCCCAGCAGGAGCCCGAGGATCATCTTTCTGAGCGCCCTGAGCCCCAGCTTGCAGCGCAGGCTGCATCAGACACGTTTCACGACGATACGTCAATCTTTTCCGAGGAGGACCTTGGGCAGACCAGTTACATTTTTGCGTGAAGGGAGGCCAGAGCAAGAGGCCTCCCGTCCCAGTGATGCGACCAATTCTAACTGCAGCAGTCTTTTGTCTTCTGGGGTCAGCGCCGTTGGGCCCCCCTCGGAGGAAGGCGGTGGGTCTGGCGCGGCTTGCGGGCCTTCGCGGAAGCTTGGCGGCGCCCCCGGCGGGGCGGGCGTCGCGGGTCTCCGCTGCGACGACCCCGCTCCTAGCGGCGAAGGCGCTGGTCCCCCTGGGGCGCCGACCCAGCCCCCCAAGCCCCGAGGGGGTCATAGCGTCAGTCATATGATTCCCCCAGATCTGCGGGATAGGCAGAGACAGGCAGTAGGTTTCTCCCTTTCTCCCTCCCAACCCCTCCCTGCCTATATCAGGGACTCCAGAGCCTTCAAAGTCAACCCTGAACGTGCGCTACTGGTCAGTGGGATGCACGCTTCTTGGGCGGCTGCAGTTGAAGATACGATCCGAGCTCACCACGAATCTGAGGAAGCCTCTCGAGGACCCCAGCGTGATATGGCTCCAGTATTTACAGTGCAGGAGGTCAGAGTCTCGGAGCAGCACCGAGCAGTTCCTCTGCGCGATCAGGTAGCCAGCTGGTGGGCAATGGCCCACTCGCTTCTCACTTCACTGCACAAGCATCGCGCTCGAGGCAACGGACTCGAGCAGCAGCAGAGGTTGGAAAGAGAATGTCGACGCCTTATTGAAGACAGGCCCGATCATGTTCACGTGTCAGTCTCGAACTGCCCAGTCCCTCCCTGGTCTGAATGGCTCGCTTTCTGATCGTCAATTGGAAGCTGCTCGATCGTCCAGCTCGACACCTTCGCTGAGTGTTCGGATAAGGTCGCCAGGTCTAGTAAACGTAGAGCCTTGCACCAGTCGCTTCGGGAGTTCCAGGACTGGGCCGTCGAGGGGTCCTCTTTGGGCGCGCTCCGCAGGGCCATGAGACAAGATCCCGTACCCAGTTTGGAAATATGCGACGGATCGGCCATTCCCTACCATCCGAAGGATATAGTTGATCTCAAGCCAGACAAGTGGCATCGCAAGTGGGCCCCGCCCATTTCCGACCCCGACGAGGCGCTTGGGGAGCGGTCTTGTAACTATTCGGCAGGCTATCAGAGATGGTCCTGATCCTCTTCCTGAGTTAGGAGTGGAGGATGTGAGGCGGGCCCTGAGATCCATGAAGCCTCGGGCGGGGATGGGGGTGGACCGTCTCACGCCATGCGATGTTGAAAGGTTGCCTGATGCTGGGGTAGCCGAGTTATGCACGCTGTTCGCCGCGATAGAGCACCTGTTGGTCTGGCCCGTGCAGACCGCGCTCGTCCTCGGCCGCCTCCTCCCAAAAAAGCTGAATGTGGACCGCGTGATAGGCCTCATATCGATGATAGAGTATGGAGTATGTCACGAGAGCCTTGGGTAAAGTCTTGGTCGAAGTCCACTGAGGCCCATTGGGATGCCGCAGTTATCGGCAATTCGTCGCTCCGTGAAGCGTTTCGTCGGGTTCGTGACGAAAAAGTTGCGGGAGTCTTGGGAGTCACATACGCACACGCTCTCACAGATATCGACGTGTACTACGATAACATGCTATGGGTCAAGTTAGCTCGAGCTGCGCTTCGGCTCGGATTTCCACGCACGCTTCTGTATCTTGAACTACTACAATGTTCATATCCACGCTCCTCGCAGCAGATTGGAGCGTGTTCGAGGGCTTTCGATCCAACATGCAGTATCATATAAGGATTTCGACCACGGACACGACTCGCACGAGCGATGGCGTATTTTATCATGGAAAGGAGATGTACTATGAATGCGCGGTGCAGTCACCGCCTCTGGATCGACGACCTGTCGCAGGCCACCAAGGGGTCGGCGGCGCAGGTCAGGCGCGACATGATCGAATGTCTAGTCACCACAGCTCGCATGCTCAAGGTGCAAGGCCTCAGCGTCGCGTCCAAGTCCGTCGCCATGTGCACGAAGCTCGGGTTGGCCAAGGATATCGTCAGAGCGCCCAAGCTCAGAGGAGTCGCGATGACGGCGGCGAAACATACCAGCTACCTTGGAGTCGACCAAGGTGCTGGAGTTCGTCACGCTCGGGAGCAGCGCGTCAAGCGCAGCGCCAAGCACCTCGTTAGACATCGTAAGGTGGCCAAGTACGTCAAGACCCTCAGGAGAACCAAGATCACTTCGCGGCTGGAGAGGCAGGGGGCCCAAGCTGCAGGATCTTAAGGCTATGAGGTCTACGGCGTGGCGGGCCAGGAGCTGGTTCGACATCGACGGCGTCTCGGTGCAGCCTGCGGAGTGCGGGTCCGAGGTCGCTGCCTCGCGACGTTGCTCGAGTTGGAGGCCAATTCGCTCGACCCTGCGCAGCGGTTCATCACTGGCACTTTTCGGCAGTGGCTCACCAACTGGCGCCGGCACCCAGAGGCGCGACCAGGTATTATTCGGGCGTGGGATAAGGTTCGCCTGAGGCTGGAGGCCATGCCCCACTCCCAGAGGTCTAGACACATGAGGGGCCCCATGTCGGCGGTGATATACCACTTGCTGGACTTCGGATGGGTTCCACAATATCCGACGCTGTGGCCCCCTCCTGGTTCGACGTCTTGGGCTTTTCCAGATGAGAATTCCACGGGCATTGATGCCATCGATGATGCGAGTTTCCACGAGCTCTTCGGCGAAATCAGGACTGCAGCCATGGCGCCCATGTGGGCGAAGGCTGCGCGGCATTACGATGGAGACGGTTTGGAGCATGGTACCGACAGTTACTCATATCGTCGCCTGCTGAGTCAACATCAGAATATTCCTCGCATTGGGCGTTACCTGGCAGCACTTCATTTATCAGTCGCCACTGGGGCTACTTGGCCCAAGGCTCGAAAGCAGGCAGTGCTGTCCAGAGGCAATCGCCAAGCCACAGGAGACGATGACAAGTGTGATCGATGTGGCGAGGAGAGTGAGACATCACTACATCGCTATTGGACATGCCGCTGCAATACGGCGTGTGCGGCTTACGAGCGCAGCGACATCCTGATCCCGCAAGCTCGCAGTCAAGGGGAGGTGCATCCGTGCTACTGGTTCCGAGGGTTGTTGCCAGATGACTGGACGGTTGCACCTGCGCCTCAGTACGTTGATGACTGGTACTGGGAAGGTTTGACGGATTTTCTCGACGCTGCTTCCCGCGAGGCACGTATGACCGACCTACATATGGTCTTCGGTGACGCCAGCGGGGGTCCTGACACGAGAGACCCCAGCCTGCGTCGTGTGGCTCTTGGTGTCACGAATATCAGCGACGTCACGACTATGACGCTGGACTGTTCAATATCAGGTGGCATGGCAGGACCCAGGCAAACTGTGGCACGAGGAGAGATCAAGGCTCTCTGGTTGTGCTTGTATTGTTGTAATGGAGTTACACATTATGTGACGGACAACGAGAACGTGTCTCGGGGCTGGATCAATCGTTTTTTTTTTCGAACCCACACGCGTTGACGCAGACATATCGGCAGAGATTGGTCCAATCATGTCTGATCTCAGTCAGTTATGACGACATCACCGCGTCTTTCGTTCACTCCCACCAAGAGGCGAGTGCAATGGTCCAGAACCCTGCTGATGCGTGGAAGATATTCGGCAATGCCGCCGCGGATGAGTTGGTTCGACTCGCGGCCTTGGAAGTTCGATTGGATGCATCTGTGCGATCCAGATTGTTGCAGCTGGAATGTGATGTATTTCTTATTCGGCAAAGGCTACTTCGAGCGGCTTTTGAATGTGTACGTGCAGGAGCGAGTACGAAAGGTGAGCACGGTGAGGTCAAAGGCAAGCGTCCTTCTCCCTCACCTGTAGTGTCTCCTGCCCCATCGATCGCCTTAAACATTTCTACCTCCCACGTGTTGGAGGAGTGCGGCCGTCGTTGTTCTAGGTGCTTTGGAAGCGCCTCGTTGGAGACCGCGAGCCTCTCTGAGAATCTCAACGGTTCCTTTCATACCCTCGGGGCTGGCAATAACGTTCACATAAGGGGGAGGCTGGGTCCATAAGAGCCATAGCATGATTCTATGCACCAAGTTAGGCCTCTGGTTTGTGGAACGTGCGGCAGCTATGACAGCAAGCGTGCTTCCAATCTTCACAAGAACTGTGATTTGAAAGCCACACCTACGGGAGCTGAATATTTAAGGCGTATGCGTTTAGGGCTACCTCCCAAAGCCCTCAGCAAAGCCGAGAGGGAGGCCCGACAGGGGCCCGTTGGGAAGTCCCCCTCCCTGGTGTAAGGCGGTTTTCCTTTTTTTTTCACTTAGTGAACTAACTTGCTCTTGCTCTTGCTCCTCCTCCTCCTCCTCCTGCTCCTCCTCCTCCTCCTCCTGCTCCTCCTCCTCGCTCCTCCTCACTCCTCCTCCTCGCTCCTCCTCCTCCTCCTTCTCCTCCTTTTCCTCCTTCTCCTCCTCCTCCTCGTGGAGACGTATGCCAAGAAACACCCTTCTTGCCTCCAGGGTGCCCTGGCTTTCTTGGGCTTCGCTGGTTTGGCTATGGAAAGCGTGCCGTTCGCACCAAAAATCAATGGACGCCTTGGGGTTTCAGGGTCGGGTTTCTTGCGGCAGGCTTCTTGTGGACTGGCCTCCGCTGTCTAAGAGTGGCCCTTCGCTGGAGTGGCCTCCGGCGCGGGCCACCCCCAGCGCTGGCTTGCGCGCTTGGCGTTGGCTCCTTCGCGGCCCCCTGAGTCCAATAAGGAAGACAGCCTCAACACTACTGTTCGAAGGTCTGCGCGGATTTCTTGCATGTGCGCTGGACCCGTCTGGCAGCGCCTCCGGCATCGATGCTGATGCGATGTCCCCTTTTCGACTAAAGCCGTTCACCGAAAGTCACCCTTGGCTGGGGTCGCTCTTGCCGGGCCGAGCCTGGCGCCCGCAAGGTCAAGCGCCTCTTCAGGTCGCGCTTCCAGACGGAGCTGAGCGAGACCGCCCTGGGCCACTCGAAGCTGTCGGAGCTGCTGAACGACCCACGGCTGCAGGACACCTGCTTCGTGAAGCTGCAGGGGCACGGCTACGTCGTCGCGCACCCGCAGCAGCCGAAGCCGCACGGCCTGCCCATCTCCCTGTCGTCCAGCATCCGGCCCGGGTCGCCGCCCGCGTCCCCGGTGCTCGAGGAGGAAGGGAGCCTCCACATCACCTTCGCGGCGGCGCCCGCATCCCCGGTGCTCGAGGACCACCGAGCGCGCTCCCCTGCTCGCAGAGAGCCTGCTCGCAAACCTCCGAAAAGAGCACGGGTCGTGCTCTCTCTGTCATGGGTCGTAGATCCCTGGCGGCTGATCCAGGCCGTGTTGCGAGGAGTCGTTCTGCGAGTAGTGGGGCGCGCTTGTCTCGGGACAGACGACAGGGGGGGATTGGGAAAAGGGAGGTTACGAAATCTGCTGCATGCAACTGGTTCCGGCCCCGCCGCCGGGCCCATTCCTCGATACATGGGCGCCTCCCGGCGCCGGGAGGCGCCGGGAAAAGCAGCTGCGCGAGCTGAGTCTCCCCCCCCCCCCTTTGCTTTTGCTGTCCCCCCCTTTTCGCCCGACCCGATGGCCCAGAGGAGGAGGGGAGCCTCCACGTCACCTCCGCGGCGGCGCCCGCGCCCCCCGCGCCCGAGGAGCAGGGGAGCCTCCGCGTCTCCTTCGCGGAGCCCGCGCCCGGGGCGGGCGAGGAGGCGGGGAGCCTGCAGGTCACGCTCGTGGACCCCGAGCGGCCCTCGTCGGAGAGCTCCCCGCACAGGAGGTACAGGATGCCGGGGCGCCGAAGTTTGGCGGCGCGCAGAGGGGGGTAGGGGGAGGGGTGAAGGCTTCTTAGAAGCACCCCTGCTTCTTAGAAGGCGCGGGCCTTCTGTATAGACGTAAGGCCGAGGCCTTCTAAGAAGCAGGGTGCTTGTAAGAAGCCTTCCCCCCTCCCCCTACCCCCTTTTGCGCGCCGCCAAGAAGTGCCCCTGGGCCAGGGTGCCCCCAGGATTCCCGGGGCAGCCCGAGCGGCCTCCAGAGCACCCCTCACGAGGCCCAGAGGGCCCCAGGGGCTCCAGAATGGAGCAAAGAGCCGGGGGCACCCTGGGCCTGGGGTGCTTCCAGCAACGCCCGAACGAGTCTGTCTACAGATATAGATATAATGCAAATACGTTCGTATGTGTACATCTGCACGTCAGGGCCGAGCCTGGCAAGGTCAGTCCTGGGCCCAAGACTCCTACAGTGCACTGATCCTGGGACCAGAACATTCGATCAGTGACGAAGCGTCCTCGGCCGCTTGAAAGCCAATCCCAACATGTTAGAAGAATTGTTCGTGGTCTATGTGCAGTCAGCCCGCATAGTAGGGATGTGCAGCCTTCCCAAGGATACCCTTGCATCCTTACCTCCTCGGCCTTGGTCCCTTCCGTTGGCCGCGCCCCGCTCGACAAGCTTTGAGATGGCCTTCCAAGGCCCCCTTGCATCATTATCGCGCATCCTTATACGCCTGAAACACCTTGTCGATTGAGACATTCGTGTCTGGACGCCCGATCAAGGTTTGATTGAGAACCTTGCTTTTAAGTCGGGCCTGTCCCCCTACAAGGGAATGTTCGACGAAAAATGCAAAAATTATCCCGGCAAAGCAACCTAACAGCGATGTGTAGGAGCATATCTGGAAGCATTCCCCTCAAGATTCAGATAAGAATCCAGTTGTAGAATTCTGTTGTTCTCGCAGTCGTAGTCGCATTCGCGATGACAGTCGCAGTGGCAACGGCAGTCGCAGTCACAGCCTCAGCCTCAGCCTGCCTCAGCCTCAGCCTCAGCCTGCCGCAGCCTCAGCCTGCCTCAGCCGCAGCCTCAGCCTGCTTCAGCCTCAGCCTCAGTCTGCCTTCAGCCTCGGCCTCAGCCTCAGCCTGCCTCAGCCTCAGCCTGCATCAGCCTCAGCCTCAGCCTCAGCCTGCCTCAGCATCAGCCTGCCTCAGCCTCAGCCTCAGCCTGCCTCAGCCTCAGCCTGCTTCAGCCTCAGCCTCAGTCTGCCTTCAGCCTCGGCCTCAGCCTCAGCCTGCCTCAGCCTCAGCCTGCCTCAGCCTCAGCATCAGCCTGCCTCAGCATTCAAAATGTGGCCCGGGAATGGAGTTCTGGGAACTCGAAGAACACGAAGTGGCCTACAGTTGGCTCCGGGCATTCAAAATCATGCCCGGGAATGGAGTTCTGGGAACTCGAAGACCACGAAGTGGCCTACAGTTGGCTCCGGGCATTCAAAATGTGGCCCGGGAATGGAGTTATGGGAACTCGAAGACCACGAAGTGGCCTACAGTTGGCTCCGAGCATTCAGAATGTGGCCCAGGAATGGAGTTCTGGGACCTCGAAGACCACGAAGTGTGTAACTGTTTGCTTAAAACTACTTCCGCGGATTCTCCCCGGCACCCGTCCGGCATCTGCCCAGACCCCCTTGGGGCGTCATGATGCTCTCTTTTGAGCCTACTAGAAACCTATCAGCCTTCGCTGTTAGGTAAATATTCAAAAAATAATCATAAAATAGTCCCAAAATAGTCTGGGGACTATTTTTGGAACATTTTTTGACCTTTTTGGTGTATTTTTGGGGTGTGTTTTGTTTTTCGTCGAAAATCCCCCTCTAGGGGGACACGCCCGACATAACCTGACTTCTGCTTTTGAACAAGTTGAGGGGTTGTGAGAACATGTCGCTGCAGGCCTCTAGGAACACTGGGACCGCTTGGCTACTGCTCCAACCTAGGCCTCCAAGACGGGGCCCGAGCAGATGGGGTCGGAGGATCGCTCCGCATCGGCGATGCATCGGCGATGCGGCTCGATGTGGAGCCCGATGCTCTCCGACCACATCTGCTCCGACCCCACTGAGGAGGCCTCTATCCAAGAGTGGGCCTGGTGAGGCCCGGTGCGTCGAGGCCCCCCCCGGCCGCGCCCCTCCTCGGGGCGCCCCCCTCCCGGAAAGGCCCTCGAGCCTCCTTCTCTCCTGGGCCCTCCCCGCTGGGCCTGCCCCCACTCGAGGGTCCAGGATCGAGGGGGATCGAGGAGAGCTCCCCTCGAGGCTCGAGGACCGGGGAGGAGCTGATGGGCTCGTTTTCCACCTCCACCACCATGAGTGGGCCCGGAGAGGCCCCGTTGCCCGTGTGCAGTACCTCCTCCTCCTCCCCCTCCTCCTCCTCCTCCTCCTCCTCCTCCTCCTCCTCCTCTTCCCGAGGATCCGCAACACCTTCGTCGAGGTGGAGGACGAGCCGCTCGGGCAGGCGTCCCCCTGGGCCGGGGGCCTCCGGGCCGCGCCGCTGCGCTGGAACACGGCGCCAGGGTGCTTCGGCTTCGACCTCGACTCCGACTCGGACGGGGATTGCGACGACGAGGATGGCGTGAGCTCCGCAATCCGGGGGGCCGAAGTCATGTGCACCTCGACGGCCATCAGGGTTCCCCTGGCGTCTCGGGGCGGACCGTGGCCGGTCACCCACGTGCGCCAGGGGGGGGGGGGCAGTGCCGGGAGCCTGGCGGAAGGGGCTGCCAAGCCGCGGGGGGGAGGAAGGTCCCAGAGGCAGCCTTGGATGCAGGCTCCAGGGGTCAAGGTCCACAGCTCCCCAGCCGACCAGCTCCAGCTGGGCTTGCTCCCCGCGTGCCTCTGCACGCGGCCTGGCAGCGGGGCGGCCGCCGCGCCGAGCCGTGCGTGCCGCGCGCCGGCGCGCTGCTCGTGCCGTGCACGGCGTGCGGCAGCGCGTGCCTTCGCGTGCCCGTGGCGCGCCGTGCGCCGCGCCTTCCCGTGTGCGGCAACTGTCGCCGCTCGTCGTGGGCTCCCGGGGGTCCCGCGGAGGGGTGTCCCACGGAGACCGCCCTGAGACCTCGCCGTCCCCTGGTGGGCTGCGATCTGCGAAACCGTCGCCACTTCTCGAGGCCTCCCAGATGGGGTCGGTCGGGGCAGATGGGGTCGGAGGATCGCGCCGTCTCGTCGATGCATCGGCGACGCGGCTCGATGTGGAGCCCGATGTTCTCCACGCTGGCGTCGCCGATGCATCGCCGATGTCGCCGATGCGTCGCCGATGCATCGGCGATGCATCGCCGATAACTTCCGTGGGCTCCTTCCCCTGTGCGTCGTGCCTTCCCGTGCATCCTGCAGCCCCGCTTTCCGCGCCCCCGCGCGCGGCGCGGCCCGCGTGCCGCCTGCCCTCGCGGGCTGCGCGCCGTGCCCGTGCGCGCGCTCTGCCTCGTGCGCGCGCTCCTCGGCGTGTGCCGTGCCGCGGCCGCGCCGGCGCCGGCCCCACGCGCACACGGCTCGCTTGGCCTGTGCCGCGCCCTGGCGCGGAGGGCGGCGCCCGGCGCGGGCGCTCCGGGCTGAAAGGAAGTCGGGGTTGGTCCCTCCACAGGAGGGTTAATTGTAGTCTGGGGGCGATGCTTCGACTCTTTGTGGATCGTGTCTGGGTATGTGCTGGCTATTTTTGAGGTTGCGTCCAGAAGCCGCCGGTAGGAGGACAGGCCCGACCTATAAGGCTGGAGCGCCGCCCGTTCCCCGAGGGCGCCCTGCGAGCTGGTGGAGCCCCAAGATGAGAAGGCGGCCAGTGGGAGTGCTCCGAGTTTCTTGCTGAGCGTCGGGGGGGCGTCGCCCCCGCCGACAGCCCCACATCGACCCCCGTCGCGGGCAGCCTCCACACGCCGCAGGCGCTCCGACCCGCGTCGCGGCGCGACGACGAGGCGAGGTTTACCCCCGTCGGGGGGGAGCCCCCACGCTTATCAAGAAACCAGAGTATGGGCCCTGCAGACTCGGCCAGCGCTGGCCCGCGATCTCCGCAGCGCCTTGCCTGAGTTCGCCAGCGCGTCCCGAAGCGGTGTTGTTCACGTCTGTGTCTCGCGCTGGCCCTTGCCAGGTCAGGGGTCACACCGCTGCTTCGGCACACGCGTGCGCGCGCGTGCGCGGGCCGTCCAAGGCTGCTCTGCCATCGGGGTTCGGGACGACAGAGGTGGCCATGAGGCCGAACGATCTGGGCTAATCAGATACACACGGTGTTAGAAAACCCATGCCGTCGTCGTCGTGGTCGAGACATGAACCTGCCGCACTCGTAGGGGCAGGAGCGGGAGCATAAGCATGGCAGAGAGGAGCATGGGCGGAAGGGGGACAAGGATGATGATGACGGTGAAGGAGGGCCCAGGGCATGTGCTTAGCAGGCCGTGGCTTACAAGAGTAACAAGCTCCTGGTCAGTGCCCTGGACAGCCACTCATCGCATTCGTCCCCTTGCTCCTCCCCCTATTTGTCCTCTCTCCCCATCCTTCTGATCCCCCTCCCCCCTGCAAACACGGCTTGCTCGTCCTCCCCGTCTTCTCCTGGCCTTCCGCAGCAGCTCAGCTTTCTTGCCGCGGCGCTCGTGCCCTCAGAGGAAAAAAAGAACAAAACAAAAAAACACGAGCCCGAACCCGAGTCCTGGCCCTCCGTAGCCAAAGCCTTGGCTCAAGGCTGGGAGCGCTCCCTTTTTTCCCGCTGCGCCAGCAGCGGACGCCGCGGGGCCTCGGCAACATGCTGAGCCCAGGATCGGGGGGGGGGGAGGAGGAGGAGGAGGAGGAGGAAGAGGAGGAGGAGGAGGAGGAGGGAGGAGGAGGAGGACGACGACGACGACGACGACGAGGACAAGGCGAAGGAGGAGGAGGAGGAGCAGGAGGGGGAGGAGGAAGGAGGAGGAGAGGGAGGAGGAGGAGGTAGAGTGAAGAGGAGGAGGAGGCGGAGGAGGAGGAGGAGGAGGAGGCGGAGGAGGAGGAGGAGGAGGAGGAGGAGGACCGCACACGTCCGCACCAGGCCTGGCCGGGCACGTCCTGGCCCGGCACAGGCGCACGAGCGTTTCTCCGGCCGAGCCGGCATGGGCGCCCGGTTGCCGGCGCGGGCAGGGCCCTCTTCGATCCGATCGATCTGCTCGGAGGAGAGAGAGGTACCCATGCCGCTGCCCTTGCCTCGTTCTCCCCGCTCTGGGCCTCCTGGGAGGCCCTCGTCACCGCCGCGGGGTTCGCCTCGAGACTGCGATCCGCACGCGCCCCGGGAGAATCGCTGAGGAGTATCAGTATATCGGTACCTCCTGGTTTCCCCAGATGTGATTCGATGCCGATTCCAGCCGGCACGATCCGCATCGATTCCGATGCTCCGAGGATCCGGTGCGTCCCGAGGTTTGTTTGGCGTTGTTGTGCATCCTGGCGCAGCCGATCCGATCCAATTTCGATTCCATGTCGATGCAGCCCAATCCGATGCACGTGTCGAATCGATCCGATTTACCGATTCGATGCTGGCTGATCCTGCCCGGGTCGGGGAGTACCAAAAAGGTATGCTTGACCCAGGGTGTCCCCGTCCTTTCGCGCCAGTGTGAGGCCCCGCTTGGGCCCCATCGGCCTCGTGACCCAGGCATGATCGCGTGGTAAACAAAAATCAGGACGGGAGTTTTTTATCGTCAAAAAACGACTCGAGACGAAAGACGGGTCCTGGGGAAAGGGTCGGTGCTTCCAGGGACCCCGTATTGCAAACACCAGGACTCGGAGGCCCAGAGGTCGACACCAACACCAAGATCGGCGGTGTGCCTTCACCGAGGGAAGATGCTCCCACTCTCGGCGATGGTGGTAATATTCGGGCCCTCTGAGTGGCCTAACTACCACCACCAGCACCAAACTCTGGGGTCAATCTCCCCCCTGGGGAGGCAACCCCTCCCGTGTCGGTGCTGCTGCCCGCTGCCAGGCCTCCGGGGGACGCCGCAGGTCTGGGAGGGCTCCCGGGAGGCGGTGCGCGCCAGCCTGGGGACACCCTGGGCCAGGAGCACCTCTGTCAGCCACGCGCAGAGGGGGGGTGGGGGGAGGGGGAGGCTTCTTAGAAGCACCCCTTCTTCTTAGAGGCGCGGGCCTTGCCTCTATAGTGTAAGCCGCGCCTTCGAGGAAGCAGCCTCCTTCCAAGAAGCCTCCCCCCTCCCCCCACCCCCTTGTGCGCGCCGCCAACTCTGGCAGCCCAAGGCCTCCGACGCCGCGATGTCTCTCGGAGCCCTGGGCCCTGGAGCCGTGTGGGAGTCCGCGGTGGCCCAGCATCTGCCTCCGGCCAGCACCAGCAGAGCGGGCGGGAACGCTCGAGACCCTGGGTTTTCCGGGAGGTCTCTCGTCTTGTTCGGCACCCGGGGGGCCCGTTTTCGGCCCCCCCGGGACCACGCATCCGGGGTGACAGATTGCACCAGGTGGACCTTGGGTCGGGGGCGGCAAAGAGGGGGTTGATGACTAGGTGGGGGTGGATATCATGGCGTGGGCCATGCTATTTCCCCAGATTTCATGGCGCCTCTTCTCATTTCATTACGTCCCTGGCCCCCCCGCTGGGCCGCGCACAGGCCGCCGGTCATGATTTGCACACACCCCTCTTGGACACCCCCCTCTTGGCCGCTCCCGATGTGGAGGGGTCTCGGGGACCGATTTGGAGCAGATTTGGCTTCCTCCCCCCTCCTGGCCGATTTCCTGGGGCCCCATGTCCAGACCCCCCAAATGCCTCCAACGTGGACACCCGACACTGTCCTAGGGACCGGCTTTTCATCCCGAGCAGTTTTCTGATTGTTTCGGGGCCTGGTGGGGCCCCAGAGGTCGACAATTGCCAACAAAAAAACGTCCCGTCGTGATTTTCGCACAGCGTGAGGAGGTTTGAGATCCGACGTTGCGAAAAAGTCAGAGAAACGATTCGATTGGAGCCCTAGACCTCACCTGCAGCATATTTCGAGGCGGATCGATCTGTATTGAGGGTCCCAGGGCCCGAAGCTTGGCAAGCTACCCGCTTTGAAAACATGCAACGCCAGGAGTCTGCGAGACCCCGCCGACAGTCGTCGTCGTCGGCGTCGGCGTCCTCGTCCTCGTCCTCGTCGTCGTCATCGTCGCCGCCAGTCGTCGTCGTCGTCGTCGTCGTCGTCGTCGTCGTCGTCGTCCTCATCCTCGCCATCGTCCTCGTTCTCGTCCTCGTGCTCGTCCTCGTCCTCGTCCTCGTCTTCGTCCTCGTCCTCGCCCATGTCGTCCTCGGCCTCGTCCTCGTCCTCGTCGTACTCGTTGTCGTCGTCGTCCTCCTCCTCCTCCTCCTCGTCCTCGTCCTCGCCCTCGCCCTCGCCCTTGTCGTCGTCCTCGTCCTCGTCCTCGTCGTCAGGGCCCAGGGCGGCGGGCGGTCCTGGCCAGGCCTGGTGCCAGACGTACCTTGGCCGGCGCCCCCTCGAGGAGGGCCGCCGAAGGCGGCCAGCGGCAGCGCGTCCCGGAGCCAGGGCCCCTCGGGCGCGGAGGGGGCCGCCGCGGCGGCCGTGCCCGCCGTGCGGCTGCCGGCGGTGCGCTGGGGCCGGGGAAGCTCGCACGACGACGACGACGACAACGACGACGCCGACG